TAGAACTGGGCTTCCAGAGCTATTCATCATTATTAAAAGAAATCTGGCATTCATAAATTGCTTTGGGACATGCTAAAAGGAGAGGTCTAAAAAAAGGTAGTGCGGTATTGCTTAAGTAATGGAGTAGACACGATGGTCTAGGAAATGCATACAATTCTTGCTTGTACCATACTGTAAAAGCTTTTCACACAGACACCCTCTTTGCAGAGATAATGACATATTTTGTGGTATGCTTAATTTATTGGGGCCTATGTGTTAGGACATCCAATTTTCCAAGTGTAAAGAGCTCTTGCACTATATTGGAAGATCTGCTTAAATCCCTTGGGCCAATTTATTTTATTACCTGGGGGGGGACTACCAAATATCCAATAGCAAGATATAAAGCATAATTCCTTTCCAAGAACAACCTTCAATGAAATCCTTACACTTTTATGGACAATGCAAACACCACAGCTATCATTCAGTCACATAGAAGAGCCCACAGGGTGTCCTGTTGTGCAGTCCTGGTGCCTGTAGGCATCCGTGATCCAGCTCATCTCTGTACTGATAGGATTGGGCTACCCAGCCTGTCATGTTATGGCCTATACTGGGGGTGCTAAACCTCTGGCCCATGGGCCAGGTGCAGCCTGCACAGACATCACATCTGGCTGTCAGGGCTCCCCATGGGTTGGGAAATTTGGTGGCAGGGGAGCTATGGCTATTATACAGCTACTCTTCCCCTCCTGCAAAAGTCCCAAACCCCAGGCCCCACACAGCTGGTCAGAGCTGGGCCAGGTTGTGACCCCTTCTCCAGCAGGGCCAGGCCACAGCTCTTCCCCCTTCTGTGGGTCAAGCCCCTTTCCCCTGTAGGGTTGTGCTGCCCCTGCACCCTCCTCCACATGGCTGGATGGCACCTGCTGCTCCTGCCTTGGGCGCCAGATTGGGGTGACTGTCTGGATGCAGCATGTGGGCTGACTGGGCACTGTCCATCTGGGCCCCTGGGAGAAAAGGTTGAGCACCACCTTGTACTCAAAAAATCTAGGCACAAAACCTCAGGGTGTCTATGGGATGTCTAACTGCTCCTGAAAGTGGAACATACCTAGGTGGGCCAGCATTTGTGAGCCAGACAGACCCTTGCTTTGGTCCATACTGCACATTTAGCTTCATCTGTGAAATCATTGTTCTCTCCCCCTGACTTTTGGTAGTATGCTCTGGAGAACAGAAAACAGGGGAGACTTGGTAACAGTCTTCAAATACCTGAAGGGTGATTATAAAGAGGCTGGAGATGGGATTTTTTACTGTGGTGGTAGAGGACAGGACAAGGAGCAATGGCCTTAAACTGCAGCAGGAGACATTTGGGTTCAGTGTCAGGAATTTTCTGATTTTGAAAGTAGGAACACATTTCTTTCTTGGAAGTTTTCAAGAGCAGTGATAGAAAGCTGGGATGGTGTAGTCCAGAGGTAGGAAACTTCCAGCACAGGTGCCAGAGCATGGCAGGTAAAGGCATTTTGCTTGGCGCACACACCTTAGGGCAGACCAGTGGTGATGCATAGGAGGTGCATGGGGGTGCACCCCTGACCAGCCACAGTCCCTGCTTAGATGATGGGTGAGGGGGGGCAGGTGGGAGCCCCTGTGAGTGCCAACCAGGCAGTGGGAGTGCTGGATGTAGCACTGTGGCCACTTTCTGGTCAGCATGATTGCCCGTGGGGGGACCTCCCCGTTGCTGACTGGTCACTGGGGGGGGCATGTGCCCCCCCCGACTAAGATGGCACTAGTTGCCCATGGGGCAGACGGCAGGGAAGGGACCAGGGCTGCACCCCAGCCATCCACCCCTGAAATGCCAATGTCTCACAAGTGGAGATTGCAGGGGGTGGGGTGGTTTGGCACTGCCTAAACAACGTTGCTGACCCCCGGTTTAGTCCGAGATGATCCTGCTCAGAGCACGGGGGCGACACTAGACCCCCTTACGGAGTCCCTTGCATCCTTATGATCCTATGTAGAAGACGCCTTGTACTTCCAGTCAGAGAGGAGAGGCTGCAAGAATAGAATGAGAGGGAAAAAGCACAACGCCGTCTTCTTTCTTTCCCGCTCAGCTTCCTGTACCTTTGCAGGCTCCTGTCCAGGAGGAAACGCTGGTACCTGCATGAAGGAGACACCGCCAGGGCTCATGCCTCGCGGGCTGGGCTGTTCTCCGCGCCGCGCCGCTCCTCCCGCCGCAGTGTTGCAATCTCCGCTCCAGATTGCATCTGCGAAACGAACCTTCGCTGGCCGCCTCTCCACCAATGGCGGGGCGCCGCCGCCAATCCGGCAGGGGTCATTTGCATAGCCATGTGAGAGTGGCCAATCGGTAGGCGTGGAGCCGAGGGTTCTTCTGTCGCCCGCGGAGGGGGGCCGACGGCAGCAGTGGTTGGAGCCGGCGGCGCGGGGGGAAGCATGGAGCCCAAGCGGCCGGTGGTGAACTTCGGGGCGGGCCCCGCCAAGCTGCCGCGCTCGGTGAGGCTGAGCGCGGAGGGGCCTGGGGCTGGAGGGGGCACTGCGGCGTGCTGGCATGGTCCTGGAGGCTGCAGGTTTGCCCAGGGCTACCGTGCGGCACGTGGGGAGCGCAGCAGCGGGCACTGCGGCGTGTGGGCAGGGAGCAGGGCATCGCGCTGGGATCTGCGGGGTCCCTTTGCCCAGGGCCGCTGGAGCCTGGCGCTTTGCGGGGACCTGGTGCGGGCTCGAGCGAGCAGGGCAGGGGTGAGCTGCTGGCTCTGGCTGGGGAGGGGAGCGGAGCCGCAGCCGCCCGCCCGCCCTGGCATTGTGGCTCCTTGGCGCTGCTTAAAAGCATCCTCAGCTGGGCAGCCCATGCCCGGGGCCCTCCTGCCTTTCCCCTGGGGTCTTCCCTCCACTGGCAGGAGCCCCTAGGGCATGTGGGTGAAGAGATGCCTGCATTGCAGATGACTTCTTTCTTTTTTTCCTCCCCCTCCTCCTCTCCCTTTGGCCCAGGACCTGCCTATCCTAGTCCCCTCCCTCCCGCTGGCAGCGGGGGTGGAAGTTGGCATTCGGGTTTGTGCTGACATGGCCATTTTCCCGGCGTATGGTTTGTCTTTTCTTTTTGGCAGCTCCAGTGCAGCGCCCCGGGGGCTCTCGGGCAGGGCTTTGTCTCCCACGTGGAGAAAGATGCTGGTTGCTGCTGGGCAGGTGTCGGTGCTGGGGAAAAAGCAAGATATGAAACTTCGGCACACTCGGGGTGCCGCCAGGTTGCTAAGCTGGGAGTGGAAGTGAAGCCCGCTTTTTTAGCTGGTGCAGGGGTGCGGACAGAAGCTGGCTCTCCGCATCTGGTGCCTGCAACTGCAGGCTGATCACCAGGCTGTAGGTCAGGGGTGCTCAACCTCCAGCCTGCGGAGCCACAGCATCCGGCCCGTGGGGCTCCCCACAGGTCAGGAAATTTGACGGGGTTGGCGGGGCGAGCAGTGGTCATTAATACAGCCACCCTCCTCTGCTGTCAGGTTCCCAAACCCTAAGCCTCTCCCCCTGCAGCTGGATTGATTCCTCCTCCTTAACACAGCTGGATCGGGGGTCAGTTATTCCACCCCTGCAGCTAGATCGGGGCCTGGCCATGCCCCCTTTTCCCACCATAGGTCGGGGCCAGGCCACACTTCCTTCCCCCTTGGGAGGCCGCATCAAGCCTACTCTCACCCCACAGGGCTCCCCTTCCCCCATCCGCATGGCTGGCTGGTATGACCTCCCCAGGTGCCAGATTGGGACTGCGGGGAAGATCTGGCCTGCAGAGACTCTGCAGCCCACCAACCAAAAAGACTGAGCCACCACTGTTTTAGTTCATTGCTGGGCACACTGGTGTGAAGATGGAAGATATGTATTTGTATGTGTGTTGCTATAACTACAGTACATTGAGCTTAAGCTAACTGAAGGATCAGTTTTATGAGGAAGATGATAATGAGCAAACTATAGACTGAGCCCTTTGGAAAGTTTGCATCAGCAGCTGTCGGGTAACCAGTCACATTTGGGGAGAGGAGCGGCTCATGGTGCACTTACAGCTTCCAGTTTGTTTTGGAGGGTTTAGGACTCTTCTCTCTTGGTTTGCTTTAAAGCCACAGATATGTTCTGTGGTGTTTTTCACAAAGCCGACTTGCTTTGTGAAGCAGCGTCTCAGCACTACTAGAAAAAAGCCTGTCTTACAGCGCATACTGCAGATGACCTTTCTAGTTGCATGGCATTTAGTTCTTCACCGCTTCTCTGAAATCTACTGTAGCTTTTCAGTTGCTACCTCAGTGGTACTCAAACTTTTTTAGACTTAGGGCACCTCTCCAAGACTCTTCAGAATTTAGTAGCACCCCATTTAAAAATTATTATAAACACAATGTGAATGTTATAATGTAAATGTGATGGTCCTATTACTAATTAACGTGTTAATTGAATAGATTATTATGATTCTATTGTATCATAATTATCATATGATTCTGTTACCCCTTCAGGCCAGTTATGGGTGTGCTCATGTTTGCTCCTAGCTCATGTTTGAGTGCAGTAGTGGACTCCCCACACAGGACCCCAAGTCACTGGTAGGGATTGGGAAGCACTGGGCCAAGTTCTTTTCTTAGTTACCTTGGGGAGATCCTTCCTCTAGTTGTGCTCTGGGGCTGTAAGGGACAGAGTCCAAGGACACTCTGGTAGGGACATGGTGCTGGGCTGCACACACAGCACATGGGGTGCACTGTGGGAGCGGTAAGGGGCAGGCAAAAGGACTTGCGAGGCCTTGGAAGGGAGAGGGGGAAGGGGGCAGCTCAAAGGGGCTCCGCAGTGCTGTCACTGCTGCTGTGGCCAGGTGGAACCGTGCCACATGTCTCCTGCAGAGGTGGACAGGGAAGCATCTGCAGCAGAAAGATGCACCTGAATGTCCTGCATTATGCAGGTGTGCACACTGTTTTTGCTGCAGCTCTTGCTGGTTTGGCTCCACTGTGCCTCTTGAAAAACTGAGGGACATAGAGCAGTTTCACTCCACCACAGTAGTGGTGTTTGGCAGGTTCTCAGGGTGCCATGGAGAACCGCTGCATGAAGTGAAACTCATTATTTCTCATGTGACTTGGGATTATTTTTTAGTGTAGGAGGAGAAGACTGTTCAAATTCATTAACTTCTTTCAACCCCCTTTTTTGGGAGTTGCAGCACTTTTGCAATAGCCAGTTCTGCTTCAGTCTCAGTAGTCTGCTCCTACTTTACTTGCGTTCTCTGAACTTCTTTTGAAGCAAGGGATAAAACTTCTGCGTTTTTGCAGCTTTGTTACAATGGGTGGGTGAGAGAAGCAGGCGCGTTCTTTTTGAAGAAGCATCTTCTTCCCTTCTTTGTAGTAGTACTAACAAAAGGGAATTTGGTTAAAACAGTTTAACAGTTCCATTATTGTGGTCAGTTTGCCCCTTAATGTTTCCTTCTCCTAGATCACTCTGCATATATAATACATCATCCAGAATTTTTTCATCTCTAGATGATTGTTTTTAGATCAGTCAGCTGGCAACTAGCTGATGCAGCAGATTTCTTATCAGTGGAAACTTGTGTAGCTGTCCAGATCATGCATTTCTTTCGCAGACTGCGAGATAGTGAGGTTGTCAGGGAAAGGTAGCTTGCCACTGAGTCCTTCACTATTTCTATCTCTGGGGGAAAACGGGGAAATTGTTTTCAGGCTATAAGCAGAAAATTAGACAAATTGTGGGCAGCATATTTTAATGGCTAGAACTTGCATGCAGCTTCTTGTTGTGACATAGCAGAAGAAGAGGGCATGCTGGGGCATTGCATTACTCATGCCAAGGTTTTTAATAGTGACTAGTAACTCTTTTGTCATCAGTTTTTAGCATTCTAAGATACGTGATCTTTTCTGATTCACTCTAATAAAAGTCATTCCTCTTTATGTTGATTCAGTTGGAGTAGCACAAAGTGGATTTTTGGCCATGATGATTGTCTCAGCTTTCCTACTTGAACAATGTTGATTATATTACCTCTTCTTTTTTAACATACTTGGAGACAGAAAGTGCTAATGTTTGCAGACAGTCTCATTCTATCCTTACATTGCTTTTAAGGACCTGGAGGTTTCAGCAAGAAACATGAGAATCAGAAATTGCCTGAATTAGGGTTCAGCCTGATGGCTGACGGTGGCAACCCTGATCAGAGTATGAACCACATAACAACACTCTACCCTCTATAAAAAATTGACGGT